TAAGAAGCATGTACAAAACTAAAATGTCAGGAAACAATAAAAACCACTGACTTAGAAAACCTTGTACAGTTTCTGTGCTATTCCACACAGGGCTCACAAACATTTATCACAGGCAACTTAATTGTCAAGGTACCCCCAGTGAACCCCAGAACTTAAAGATTGGGGAAAGCACTGAGAAGCTTTGCCTCCCCCATCCTTCAGCTAAAGAAATTAAAATGCTGGACAGACCCAGGTGCCCAGCAGCGATCAGAGGTCACTGAATAGGAGTGAATCAACTCAGCAGAGGACATGCCATTGACAGAGCCTCAAGTTGCCTGAAATTATACTTTGAAGCCACGTGGTTTGTGTGGCTTTGGCTTAACGTAGTATCTGAAAGTAGCCTTTATGGTTTATAAACCATGATTTACAGCTTAGCTTATGGTGTATATGTCAACTGAGGTAGATTCATTAAGCCTTGGCTTAACATACCATTTCTTAGCAAGATGCACAAACCTACTCATCCTCTCAGACATCCTTATTCATTTGGTTTATATCAGGATGATGTAAAAATGTCCTCTGTTGCTGTTGTGATACTTCCATCAAATTGCTTTCTAGATCCTCTCCTCTCCTCTCTCTAAGCTCATGTACTTTTACTTTTTTCTAATCAGCATTAAAGTCCAGCATGGCTCAGTTGCTTGTGATTGCTAAAATTCTGCTTCCTCTTTTGATTCCTTCCCTTATTCTATTATGTATTGCTGCTTTTATTGCTCAGATAGGCCTCTTCCAAAACCATTAGTTTAAGATAGCTGCCTGCCAAGAGTTTCAAGCTTAGAATCAGGAACATCAGTACAAATAACATTAACTTTGTGATTAACAATCAAATTGCTTTTAAAAAAAAAAAAACAGCAACAAAAATTAATGCTGAATACTGTGTAGGGAAGAATGGTCATTGGTTTTTCCTCTGTAGCTACAATCTCCTTAAAAGTTCAGTTGCCCCTCCATACATAGAGAAATAATTATTACAGAAAAGTTTCTATAGGCTTTCCAAAAATTTATTTCCATGGTGGCTGAAGGACTTTATTGAGATCATGGGTGGAGAAGAAAGGTCTGAATTTCTTTTATCTATGTGCTTTCCAGCAGGGGCATCTACAGGGGTGCCAAAACATTGAGTATGTGACACATATAAAAATGGGGTGAAGCTTCAGTTGTGTGGTTGCAACTACCATCTTGCCTTTTTTTGATACCCTTGTTCCCCAGTCTGGTATTTCATTTTAAATAAAATGGAAAGTTTGCTAATCACTCTTTCAGTCTGCTCTGTATGATAAACTATTAGAACTGCATTTTGGAAGCTCTTCCTGACATTGCAGGATTCTCAAGCTCTAATCTGAATCCACTCACCCAAGCTGATAACATGGCCCTTCTGAACAGGCATGGCTAAAAAAGCTTCCTTCCTCACAAAAAGATCCTCCTGGCTCTGGTATATTTCTGTCTGATTCCCAGTTCTGACCTCTGCTAGGCTCTGGATTCCCAGCTTTGCACTGACATGATCCTAACACATTTACATGGCAGCTTCTTAAGCATCAGTAAGATGTCTAATCATATAATGAAGGGGGTTGCACCTGGAAGCAGGCTATCTGGGAAAAAACCTGCTGTCAATGCCTCATTTTGAGGAGACCAGATGGTCCCCAGCAGCATGGTGGCTAGCCACTTCATCTGCCAAGACCTTCTGACACAAACAAGTCCTAGGGCCAGGCAAGTGAGCGGCTCTGCTTTCAGTGCCCCTGAGTAGGTCTGGGAACCACCTTCTTTGTTTTGGGCAACAGGAGCTGTTCAGCAGTGGTGGCACAGATAGCTGAACAAGTTTTTTTTTTTTTTAAACCAGTGGCTACCCATAGTGGTGACCTTGGCATTCTGCTCTGTTCCTGGCTCTGAAGTCCTCTGATATGAAGTATAAGAGATGTAAATGCAAACAGATAAGATTAATGAGGTGGCTCTTGAAGTATATTTTATCTTAATCTTTATTCGCAATACATAAATGAACTGTTGGTGAATCTTTTAAAGTAATAGGTCTCAAGATCTTCACCCATGGAAAAATGAGTTCATGATAATTTAGTAATTGTTTGGATGTGGTCTTTGGAACTTTGTCTCAACTCTTTAATCTAAGAACTACATAAGGAGATTTGTTAGGAATCAGTGAAGATGAAATCTTGACTTTCCATCACAACTTCAGCTGATTTTACTAAGTCATGTTTTTAAGATACCATCAGTGTCAAAGGCATTATCAGACATTTGCAAATGTGCTAATTCATACCTCAACCCAATGATTTCTTTTCTGAAATAAGCCCCTCTGAACTCACTGTAATTTTCTCCCTGATAAGTGTGATAGGACTATAGTCTTAATATTATGCTGGCATTAATTATTTCATGAGGTTAGATCCAAACATGCCAATCTGACAATGAAAAAGATTCCTTCCACCTAAAGAATCCAAGGGAGGCTGTCCACTTGAGGAAAAAGGTGGGGAAGCATGTTTTGCTGACTCCTTTTTTACAGAATCATATACTATAGCTGGAAAGTACATCAGAGGATATCTGGTCCAACCCCCTGCTTAGTGTAGGATCTGCTAAAACTCTGTTCAGTTCCAGAAGTACCTTCCATACTGCTTTAGAGTGTTAGAAACTCTCCAGAGCAGTATTTCAGTAGTCCAGGGAACTGCAAAGAAGAAAAGGAATTGGTGAAAGCTGCATCCTTATCTTCTTCCTCTTGTGGAATTGATACTCAGTTAAGCACATACCCAAATCCAACCTACTGTACTTATTGCTTTCTGACTCTATATCTATCGATACTGATATTGATACTGATATCTATCTATCTATCTAGAACTAATTTAAAGCTCACTATGTTTTTTTCTTGAGTTGCTACCAATGATAGAAAAGATAATGAGGTTGCGACCCTCATGATATAAATAATATAAAATGTAGAGTGAGTTAAGCAAGTATTTTCCAGTTGTGTGATTAACATGTTTGCGCAACTGGAATTCAGTGAGAGGTGCATGCTCAGCAGGGGCAGAATAACTTAATCTGTCTAATTTAAAGATAAAAACATGATGTCAAATGAATTTTTCTTTTGTTTTGGTATTTTCATGCTTGATGAATTAAATATTTTCAGTTCTTACCTGGCTTTTTGCATAATCTTAGAACTGTTTTCTAAGCTTTTCTTGATATGGCTTTTCTTGATATGGAGGTTATTTTTTTCTGAAATTCCTCTGTATTTTTTTCTATGTAGGATTTTTATGAAGAGGGGAAAGCTGCACAGAACCCAGTATTTCCCAAACTCATGTTTAAAGACCTGTTGGTCACATGGAACTATTTGCGCATTCTTGGGACCCCAGCCAAGTATTTTAAAATCTGTATGTCACCTTGATTGCCAGGTTCACATATGTACCTGTTTCATGTTGACTGCAAGCAAAACTGGCTTCAGTAGTCAGAACTATCAGGCAACTCCCAAGGCAAGCATCTCAACAGAGACCTCATAATCAAGACATATTCCTGATCTTCCTACTTGCTGTGGCAACTTCAGTTCTTGCCCAAGCTTAAAAGAGGAGCAGCCTAAACTTGTCCTCCTTTCTTTCTAAAAGTGGTCCCAGAGGGTAATGGAAACCAGAGGCCCAATAGTGGCATTGGAAAGGTGAGCTGCTTTGGTGGGGGGATGGGAGGCCCTTAGCGCACCTGTGATGGAATGGTTTGGTGAAGGCCGTGCTCAGGGACATAAGCATTTCCTTAGCCCCCAGCAGGAGTGTGGGAAGGTTAAGAAGATGAGACTGGCACCACCCTAAGGAATTCACAGTGTTTTGGCTTGTTGGCTTGGGAAGTTTAGATGCAGTCTGGAGAGACTGATGTCAGGTCCGGCCCAAAGAACTCCACGAGACAGTACAGATAC